ACAAAAGACAATGGTGGCTGGCTCATCTGCATTTTCTCACAAGTGTGTGTCAAACAGAAACCTGCTACACATATTGAAATTACGGGGGAAAACCATTGGTAGACAGAAATCTATATAGAATGCAAAATGGAAACAAGGATGGAAATGGAACATATTTAAGCCCATGAATTAAAACATCACATTTAAATAAAAGATTAAATGCGGCAGTGAACAGTAACTTAGTACATTTACAAGTACTGTACTTAGGTCTTTTACTGGTACCCCATAATTGTGCTTGAGTACTTCTTCCGCCTGCTGATATGAATGCTAGGTAAAGTACTGTATGTATTGAGGTGCATGTAGTGACTCATTTGTGAGTCACAGTCATAAGATACTTCTAGACACATTGTGAAAAATGTGGATCACAAATTGGCCCTCATACTTTCTTTCTTGATGTAATCCATTTTTTTATTTATCTATATGGTATAATGTAATGTCGGCTGGAAACTGGAGAACTAAAAAGTTGGCATTGAAATGTAATATTGTATTTAAATCGCTCTGCACTGCGTAAGGTGCTGAAATGAAAATTAGAATAAGGAAAACCTGTTATTTTCTTTGGTTTATGTTCCTCGTTGAGTGTTGTGGCTCATTCAGAGCCAGTGAGCGGTGTATTGTTGTGCCTGGTACAACCAGAGGCTATAGGACGCGGAGGAGGAACATTAAAAATGAAGGAGGGACAAACTGTGAAAAAGTGTTTGTTTATTACAACTCAGAATGAAACCAAAGTGTAAATGAAGAGAAAAGAAGAAGCAGCTGTAAATATGAAGACTGTTTAGAACAGACTGGGCTTTTTATGGATGTTAAGGTCCAATGGATACTTTGGTTGTTTGGAAACTTCCAACATCTAGGTGTAATGACCCCAGTTTTAAGCATAGTCTACCAAAAAGGGGAAAGAGACTCATCAAATCTATGCAGTCACAAGTTGTATTTGTTTATCGTTAAATGTTGGTTTGCCATCTACCAATTGACACTGAGAAGGACAAGAAGCATGTACATTTACTACATGTTATATACTTCCTTTTTAAAATATAGTAAAGTATCTTATCCTAACCATAGCCCCATACTGTAAACCATGAGAATTATGTTTTTATCCGTTATTGGTATTGGCTAATAAATCAATGTTTGCCATGAACAAGGACACTATAATTTAAAATGTTAACATACTACGTATATGTTATTTATGTAAATCTCAGAAATATCTCTAGGTTAAGGAAAGACGCCAGTTCTTTTGGGCACTATCGGTAAGAAAAGCTCAGTCTCGCTCTTGTGGTGACGTAGATTCTCTCATTATGCCAACTGTCTCTGTGCGTGTTGGCGATGTTGACCTCTGTGTTGTGACGGGATGTTTAATGTTGTCAGACAACCCAGTTTATAAATCTATAGAAACTGGGTCAAAACTTCTGAGGGCTCAGATCAGATTGCAGAGCTTCTGTATGTGTCCAATAATCATTTTTAATAACATTTTATGACTTTGTCTCAGTTCATGGCATTCAGTGCCTTCGTAATGTGCTCCAGATTGTGTTGAAAACTTTCTGTGGAAATAATTAGGATGGCATGTTTTCTATTTTTGTTCTTCTACTTGTTGCACATTTTTGCACAGATGTGTAAAAGCAGCTGCTGTGAATAGTTTCCTCCCTATGGTTTTATTTAAAACGCATTTGAAAAAATGTGCCATAATCAACAACTTTGAGGCTGATACATTAATTGAACCATTGTGTACTTTCCTGAAGCAGACATGTTTTTATTCACTCAGCAGCTGCAGTACAAAGAGGCTCTGCGTGGCACTACTACATTTTAAGTAAGCCTTTGTTTCTGGATCTTTTTTTCCTACCAGAAGTGCATAAATGCATTTTTCATGTTCACAAGATCCAGTCCAACAATTATAACTCTGTAGAAGCCTTAATATCATGTTATCATTTAAAAAGCTAACTGGTGATATCTTATATTTTCTTCTGTCAACAAATCCCATGGAAAGACAAAAACCAACAATGATGATAGTAGCTATGTGTACCACTGCAGCTGGAGAGCTAACAGCTAACACATTAGCCAGCCAGGAAAATGCTAGTGCTATTAATTCACAGTAGTCAAGTTTTTTTTAACAGTTACTAACCTGTTAACTCCTCCTGATATGATAGCCATTCCATAAAGTGATTTATATTTGGCTCGAAGTGTGGTGCAGTAGCAGCTACTCGCTTGGCTAGTTGGTAAAGGACTATGGTATGCTAACTGCGTACATGCTAGCAATTCAAATAGCTTTATTGGCATGACCATAATGACATACAGTATTGCCATTGCAGGCACTATTTTAGAAGTGGACTTAGTGGGAATTTTTATTGAAGGAGAGAAATATGTATCTTGCTAACTCTTGATCAGCAAGCACATAAGACGTTAGCGTAGCTCTGTCGCTAAATGGACAAAACTAATAAATTACGTGTTTTTATCTTCTGACACAAAACTCTGGAGGTTAAAGGACAGTTGACGGTGACACACAGCTACAACCTCTATATTACTGTACCTTTTACTTTGAGCAAAAAGTAAATCCCTCATACATCCTCTTGCAATTGTAAATGTTCTGTATGCAAATGTTCTTCGTAGCACAATTACCAGCTGTTTCAGGAAAAAAACTGAGCCTTTAAAAAAAAATGTAACTATATGTTTTCAGCTGAGAGTCACGGACACAAAGTCAGGACGTTTTGAGAGACTGACTTACACGTTGTTGTTTTGGTCTTGTTTTGAAGAGTTTTCTTATCAAAACTAAAAATATGGACTATACCAATCGTTATCCTTTTACTTCTTTCAGGTCTCTTTTTATTTTAATTCCTGTATTGTAAAGAAATGTACCAAAAGTCTAAGCCTAAACTTAAATGAAGAGTCTTATGTATCAGAGGGCGACCTGGTCTTTGTTAAGACTTCAGCCTGCTCTCTTTAAAGTCTATAATACCTTCCATCTGGCTTTGCTGAAACCGCCAAAATCTCGTTCCCATTGCATATTCTCTTTCCTCTGTCATCCCTGCAGGTGCCCCCCTGCACCCCCACCCCTCCGCACCCCCACCCCCCAACCCACTAAACTGGCACAGGCAACCATGTAACAGTAACCCATTTACAGTGAAGGGAATATGGGTTGGACACACAAGCGCTGAGCTCACGCTATGTGGCTTCACTGCCAGGAGGAAACATCGAACCGGGCCGCCGTATTTCACCCAGATTTTCATAGATTTATTGGACAGTAAGAGGCCATTACTGTATGGAGGGGGCGCTGCGGGGAGGTGAAGAGAAGATGGAAAACCATTCAGAGAGAGAGTTGCTGCGTTCATGTTAGGCTAGATTTTCTGTAAATATGAAAAACCACATGAAAGGAGAAAGGTCATTAACATTTTTCTGGTGTTGAATACGAGTTGGATGCACTTTTTGCTCTTTCCAATCTGTACTAGTTGGACTGAACTTGAACTGTTAACGTTAAAAAAAGTTAAACTCTTATTCTACTTGTGATTTGAGACCAGGTGAAGGCGGGTGAGAAAGAAAGAAAGAATATTACTGCACTTGAAAATCAGCTAATTAGGCTAAATTGAAACGCATCATTTCGTTTTTTAGTTGCTCCCAATGAACTTACAAGTTAGAAATTGGAAGAAGATGCCAAGAGACCACTTTATAAATGTGTGTGGATGGGTGATATTTTATGTTTTTTGGCTTTGATTAAAATGTTACTTTTGTCTATTTATGTTATAAATTTAGGAATAATTCAAGTTGAATTTTGAAAAACCTTACCTGCTGTAATTGTAAAGCCACCACATTACTCCACATTACAGTACTGTAGATATACTGATTTCATCTTTAGACATGTAAGGATCTGGAGCTGAGGAACAGACAGGGCTGGAGATCCAGAGCGAGCAGGTCACAGATGGTATGACCTCTCCGCTCACAGATTGAGGTTGTGATTGCGCTGGTTGTTTTTGCGGGTGTAATCCTGGAGGATTTGAGCCCCCCAGTTCCTGATCATGATCAGCCGGACCAGCTTAGCCTCCGAGGTCTGTTCTTCTATAGCATCTGTCACCACTTGTTCACATCACGCTCTTCTCCACAGCAGATCTGCAAACACAATCCTGCTCTGCTCTCATACAGAATAACTTCACTTGCACTCTGTTTATGGAAATTATTGTTACATTTTGTACAGTACATTGGACTGTTGGACACATTTTTCAATGACTTTATTAACGATATAATACATTCATCTAATCATGAAAATAATAAGTTGGATAGTTTTGTCAAACCAATAACCCATCACCCAAACCGTTGCGTAGATCAGAAACATTTAGCAAGAATATTTTACTTGACAAAGGACCTAAATCATTATGAAATGTCAGAAATATTTGTTGTAATATTGAGAACATGTCAATCACCAATTGATAGAGTATAAAATGATACACAGATATTACCTGTCAACCAGAAAATGCTGTCAATTAAGGATGATTCCAAGCCCCATATGCCTTCTCTGTAACCAAAAGACTATTGGCATATATGTACACATGGTTTATGAATGTACTGCAGTAAGAACGCCCGTGGCGTGGCAGCGTTGAAGATGACGTCACGGCTCCGCCTACACTATAGTTACTGCGCCAGCTACTAAACTGTAATGGAAACGCAGCATAAAGTGAGCCAGTCCTAACTAGGCCTAACTATACCGTACTAAGCCGAGCGAGGCCCTGCAATGGAAATGCGCCATAAGAAGGCAGAGCAAATCCAGCCTTGGTCCTCTGAGAAATGAAAAGAAAAAATATCTCCAAGTTTTAATTAATTGGGTAGTTAATTAACAAATAATTGCTTAAGAAAATTAACGATATTTGCAATCTCAATTCGCAATCAAATGATATTGAGAAACTGAAAAAACGCTGTCTGAGAGACCTGTGAGTTTAAACATTCTATTGGTATGTATAATGAATATTGTGACTTTCTTATGTTTCCAGATCCAGAATCATGGGGAAAGGCTGCCTGACAGTGACCAAGTACTTCCTGTTCCTCTTCAACCTCATCTTTTTTGTGAGTATATTACTCTCAAATTATAGTAATGTGCCATTAAATAAGAAACGCTGGTAAACATGTGATTCACTCAAAAATCTAAATGTTTTTTTGTTTAATATTTGTTAAACATTAACACCATCAAGGTTATCTTCTGGCTATTAAGGCGAGACACGGCAGGCAAAAATATCGTTTTTCATGCACTGGTCAATTTTGAGATGTTGTGCTATTTTGATTCCATAACATGTTTTCTTTCAGGCTTTTGGAAGGAAAATGTACAAAATACACATTTAGATGTTTATTTTTACCATAGTTTGTCTATTTGCGTCTGTAGATTTCTCCTAAATTCACCAAAAGTTAGCATTCTAACGTAACATAATAGTACCGCGACCGCTGTTTGCACCATGTAATCAGAGGCATCGTTGGAAAGCTCCGTCTCTCCTGCACAATCTCATCGGAGGAACACGAGTATAGGAGTCGAGGAGGGGAAATTAGTGAAATGAGAAAGGCCCTAGGTATCATTCGTGCTTCTATTGGCTAGCGCTCCAACACATTGTACGTGATTGGCTAAGGGGCCGGACGTCTCTAAGCAGTTGACAAATCACAACAGAGCCGGCCAGCTAACCAGAGCAATCTGGGCTCTGGTTTCTTTTTCATGAGGAAAATAAAGCACTTTGAAAAATTGAAGCCTGTAAACATGTCCACAGTAGAGGCACACGATAGAAATATGAACCTGAAAATGATTAGTTTGTTAGAGAGTGTCCTCTCTAACACAATCTGGGGTAGAATTTGATGAAAATACTGGCGTTTAAAGAGCAGGACAGAGCAGCTGACTGAAAACAAATAAAAAGGGACTATTGGGAAAAATTGTATAAAAGTACATGTAGTCATGTTGCTTGCTACAGTTCTCGACAAGAGTTTTTGAACAGCTTGAAAAGACGTCAGCCACTCTTTCTCTGACTGAGTATTAATTGCAGTGTCCACAGTAACCACGGTAATACTCACTTTCTTGTTTCCTCTCCTTCTGTGGAAATGAAATCTTAGCAACAGATAAACACTGTGTGTGTGTTTTGTATTTCTCGGTATTGAGAACATTACCATCCGCTGTGCTTTCCTGCAAAGTACATTCAGTTCCTGCTTAGAAACGTGATGTCATTAAGTTACATTGCTGTTTGGTTTCCCCCAATAATGTATATTTAAACTCACTTGCAGTATGTCCTGCCAGTACACCACATGAAGGTACAGAACATGGCTGTAGTTAATACTGACGTCATGATCTCAATATGTTCTTCGTTTTAATTCAGCAAATGGATATATTGCATTTTTTTTAGTGGTCTTTTTTTCTTAACTGTATAAAAGAAAATGCAAGCACCTAAAGGACCTCGATCTTGAATAGCATTCCAACATATTCTAGGTGAAAGGCCAAGGGGCAGTAACCTCTCTAAGCGGTTGACCAATCACAACAGAGCTGGCCAGCTAACCAATCAGAGCAATCTGGGCTCTGGTTTCAGACAGAGGGTGAGAAGAGGTGCTGCAGCACAAATAAAGAGCTTTTTGAACATTTAAAGCATGTAAACATGTCACGGTAGAGGCACTAAATACAAATGGGAACCTGAACATTAGCATGATAGAGCCCCTTTAAAATCATATGCAAGTACCATATTTTTGACTTTGCCATTCAGAGTAAACTTAGTTTTTTCTTGTCCCTCTGTACTTTTTAAAATGTTAATCTCTTAAAAGCCTCTGAAAGACAAACCAACAGGAGGCTTTTATTTTGAACCATGTATTAATGGTTAATGTTGATTAATGTCCCTTTTGATATTATTCAATAAAAACAGATCTACACCAAAAGGTTTTGACTTATTTGGTGTTATTTGGTCAGAAGATCAACTTTTAGTTTGGCAGCAAGGTAGCCACAGTGAGATGTTAGATGAAGAGAAACACATTTGAAGGTGACAAATACAGTGATCATGGTTCAGCATTCCTGCAAAAATCTGAAAGAAGAAACTCTGATACACCAGAACAAATATAGCTCACCAGTATAAAAAACTGTGAATTGCACTTAATCTGTTACTGTTGAAATGTGCTCGTTTGCAGCATGTCTGAAGCATTGTTTATGGCTGACCTGTGTGTGTGTGTGTGTGTGTGTGTGTGTGTGTGTGTGTGTGTGTGTGCGTGTGTGTGTGTGCTTGTTCTCCAGCTGTGTGGGGTCGTCATCATGGGCTTCGGGCTGTGGCTCCTGCTGGACAATCAGAGCTTCATCGTCGTCCTGAGTGAGTTCCTCCTTCATTCTCCTGATGATGATCTACCACGTTTACTTCGTGTGACGTGACTCTTTTTTTTTTTGCACGTTTGTTCAAGTTATCGCTGCAGTTATTGTCTGTTCTTGGGAGTTGGGATAGGATAAATTATATCTCAGCGGTTAGAGCTGGCGGCTCAGTATCAGCTGAGGCAATAGCAGGTTTTAATCCAACCAGTGGTGCCTTTTACACGTGTCTTCCCCTCTATCTACCCCTTTCAACTGTCACTCTCTTAAAAGGGCAAATCAGGCCCTATAATTGTGAGACAGAAGGGAAACAGGCGGGAGTTGTTGAAAACTTCACCTGTTATTAGTGTGAACTGTTGAACTATGACGTCTAGACAAACCTTTAATACTGCACAGCACTATAACCTGTGTACAGCACTGTAATGTATACAAAGGATTTTGAAAAGCCTTTGCCTAGAGATGCGTCAGACGGATCCTTTAGAAGCAGTCGTTTTTGGAAACTTAATCCTCAAATAGTTTTGAAAGTTGTACTTTGAAATAAAGTTGTAACATGTACAAGTAAAATTGTATACAACAACTCCAACAACAATCTGAGACCTAGGACGGAAAACGGAAAGTAAAAATCATAAAAGGCTTCTCCATGAATTTTTATCTAAATCTGGTATCGTATCATTTGGATGATTTGGGATTTAAAGACACAGGGTCACATTTGAACATGTTTCCAGTTGTGTAATATTTAATATCGCAATAACTTCTTATTAAAGATGTTTCATCTTATAGAATTTCTACACAATAAGAATTGTCAGAATGATGGATATTTATAAAAGTTTCAGGACTCTTTAAAAGACAATTTATATGTTTCCCTTTTCTAACAGTCCTCCACACAGCACTTCGACAGAAGCGATACGTTTGTGTCGCTTTTAGACCGAATAACTTTCCACACAGACAACATCCATCTGTTGGAGGCTAACCAAAACTTCTCCTCTTCCACTGTCCAGCCTATGCATCGATCTATATTGCTGTTTTTCATGCAGTTATCCCTTCTGACTTGGTCTCCAAAGAGGCCAACATGTGTAGGTGTCCCCATAAAGTTGGGGTCTCTGTGTGTTCACTGGTGTGTTGAGGCTGTTGAGTTAAAAACAAGTGTCCAGCAGATTTCCTCCACGTTTGTCTGTCTGCTTCTCTGGACTGTGTTTAAAAAAAGAAATTCCTTCAAGCCACAAATCTTTCCCTCTGTCTTGGTCCTCCTCCGTATCCTCTCCTCGTGGCTTCAATTACTCTCCTGTTACTGAGTGTTCAAAGACATCTGACATAAAGAGCTCATTTGACATTTAGGGAACACACTTATTCATTTGCTTAATAAAAATAATATAGTGAGCTTTAGACGGGTTTGTGTATTTAGATTCTTTACTTAATTTAAAGTACTTAAAGGGTGCCTATTATGCTTTTTCGGGTTTTCCCTTTCCTGTATTGTGTTATCTAGGTTTTTGTGAATGTAAATGGTGTGCAAAGGCTTAAATCCCAGCGTTCCTCCCTTTTACTATTAATTAATGAATATTTCTCCATTAATCACTAGATTGTTTGTTTTTGAAAATATTTAAGTACATATACAATTACATAGGAAGTCATGTTTTCTGAGATAAGTGATAAAAAGGAGTTATCTGAATTCAGGAGCAATTCAGTATAACTTGAAAATGTCATATCATTGTTTATTATATCCTAGGATTATTATTACTCATTGATTCATATGAAAGGATTGAACTGTTGTAGTTCGTTAAGAAGAGGCTTATACAAATGTTACCTACTTTTTTTCAATATGGATTAGTTTTCTGATTGATTGATTTATTTTTTTTTTAAAGTCACAGGAATTACCCTAACATTAATACTAATGCACTACAACGGTTTTGACTATTAAGAAAATCAGCCAATTTGAGAAGCTTTATCAATACAGTGTTTTCTGTAGGAAAAATTACTAAACCATTATCAAATAATACTTCGTACTGATTTTATAAACTTCATGTTTTTTTTGTGTTTAAAAATCTAACTTTAAGTAACTACAACTTTAAGATGACTATAGTGAATCAAGAGGAAACGTATTCTCTCCCCATCAACTTGCATAGAATGGAAATACAAATAAGTACAAATGTCAAAATTATACTTTAGTACAGTACTTGAGTAAATGTATATGGTTACATTTAACAAACTAAAACCATTGTACACTGACTGTGTCCTTAACTCCAAAAAATGTTGAACTATTCCGTTAATTCTAAACTCTGCAAACAGTAACAGTGAGAAAGAGACGACCAGTGTGAGCAAAACAGAAAGTCTCAGACACCACTGAAGAAGTGTCGATGCAGAAATATAGAGACAGACATTGAGCAATTGTCAGAGAGAGACTGTGTGTGTGTGTAGTGTGTGTGTGTGTGTGTGCATGCGTGCGCTTTCAGAACAAGCCAGCGCCACTGAGGACATTTGTCTCCCGTCCTCGTGGGCTCTCTGCAGGTGTCGTCCCCTCAGACACTGGGCTCTTTCTGCTCCGTCCAGCATCAGCATGCATCACATCAGCCCAGTGCGCTCACCGCCTTACTCAACACACACACACACACACACACACACACACACACACACACACACACACACACACACACACACACACACACACACACACACACACACACACACACACACACACACACACACACACACACACACACACACACACACTACGGTCAGTCAAATAGTCCAGGCATTTTATCGGGGTTGTGGTCATACGACACTAACCATCAGAGCACATGGATAAAGTACAGTGCACAGTTTAGCTTTGTGTTCACACATAAACGAGGAGTATTGATGCTCGATGAAACATTTTCTAAGAGCGGCGTCACTGCTCATCACAAGTGAATCAATGCTCAGCCTGGTGCTGCTGGAACCAGCTGATCGTACAAAGACAGCGCTGAGTCACAACCACACATCATTCCTGCCTCAACACGTTTGAAATTATCCAGTTTGATGGGATAGAACACGTTGTAAACATTACTTCATGTGGAGCAGGGAGACCTCGAGGAACACTTGTGACTGAAGCCATTCCATTATTGGTTGAAATGTAATAAAGTATTAAGTTAAGTAGTAACTTAAGAGTGTTTCGATTTTGTATCGCTTTGTACTTCTAATCCACTACATTTCAGAGGGAATTAATATGATATATTATTATACTTTTTACGTGAGGATTTCATTAAAACATTCAGTAAGAGGACGTTTTATGCTCATTTTCAGGTTCATATTTGTATGTTGTGCCTCGACTGTGACATGTTTACATTAATGTTCAAAAAGCTCTTTATTTTTCTCATACTACCTGTGTTGCAACACCTCTTTTCACCCTCTGTCTGAAACCAGAGCCCAGTCTGCTCTGATTGGTCAACTGCGTTACATGCACAAAAACCTATATAACACACTAGAGGAAAGGGAAAACTCCAAAAACCATAGTAGTTTTTTTATTTATTTGAGATATAGTAGATTCGAAGTATAAATTAGCAGAAAATGGAAATAATCAAAGTAAATCAAGTAAAATATAATATTTAAGTACAGTACTCCAGGAAATTTCTTTTGGTATACTGTGACAAATATAAAGTATTTATTTTATATTGAATTGTTTAAACAGTCTTTGAGAAAGAATGGGCTTCTTAATTAATCGTCATTTTAGGCAGGAAATCTTAAAAGGGACTGCTTCAGTTTGGTAAGAATTCGCTGAAAACGGCATCAACATGAGTATTTGTAAATGTTGACTCAGCATTTTGTAGGCTATAGAACTGCACAGGTAGTCTATCCATAGGGACCCTAAACACATGAACCTGTCTGTAAGAGCATATAACACACACACAGGTTTAATTGACTGCCCCCCCCCTCTCCCTGTAGCCTAATTTTCCATCATAAACTTCCCTCTTTTCTCGTTGGCTTGCGTTGGAGCAGCATGCCCTGGTTCACTGATCCCCCGGGGGTATCCCATGATGGCTTGAGGCCACAAGGACCCAGCAAGGAGGAGGGGGGCTTGTCTTTAAAACGGCTCATTGGCAGACTTCTACACGCTTCTTGTTCACAACCTTTTTGAGTGACAATACGTTCTCCACTGCAGTAGCAGATTCTGTATTTCTGTTATGAATCATTTGAAACTGGCTCTGTTTTTGATGAGTTATGCTCCATCAATAAAGGGTGCTCATCAAATTGCGACCCAGGGTTTTGGAGTGTAGCTGAATTCTTATTTGAGCTCCCTGCGTTTCTTTGGGCCCTGGTAACTTGTTATAAATGGAGCGCTGCAGACGAACGCTTTTCATTTCCTTTGTTTTTGATCATCACACATGTTGCTGTATGGAAGTGCTCGTCTGAAATCTACAAACTTGCAGAAATGAACCAGAGACTTGTGTATTGGGTCGAAATCATGTTGTCAAACATGACACAGCCGCTGATCTTGTTTTATAGCTAATATAGCGGTGCAGGGATGACGTATTTACCCGGAAATAAGCTGCGCATGGGTTCCCTCAACAAAAAAGCAATGGGATTTCTCCATAGGATTTTGGAAAATAGCTCGAAATAAGGTCTGTGTAAAACGAACCTGTTAGATAAATGCACGTATTGTTCAGCCGGATAATATCCACATGTCTACCCTACTTTTATAATTTTCTAATCATAAATCTAATCGCCAGAAGCAAAATGCTAACGTTATGCTATAAACGAACTACAGCAGAGTCGCACGACTTCAACGTCACGCCAACTTAAGATCGATATTCAAAAATACAGATTTAAAATTGTACAAGTTGAAGCTTTTGTTTGAACAGTTTGCAGGAGGCAGGTACTTGCTTTCAAGCAGAACAGGGCAAACTAACTTAGCAGGAGTGTTTACGTGTTTGGCGTAATGACGTACAACGTCCTCGACAACTTCTGTAGTCCTATTCAGCCACTTGTTAACAACAATCGTTTTTCAGACACGTCAACTCTTGTATGTATTTAATGTCGTAGAACAAAACGTGATTTGTCTCTTAAATTTGTGTCAACCACAGACCTTATTTCCAGCTATTTTCCAAAATCCTATGGAGAAATCCCATTGACTCTGAGACGAGGGAACCGGTAGTGGTAAAATGCTAACTCCCTTCCGGGTCTTAGGACTCGTCACTGCACCACTCTATTGGGTTGATGTCACATCTAGTCAATGTTTCTGATTGTGTTGTAGACTCCTATATAATTGAAAAATTCATTTTAAAGACCGTCAAATGAGATGACATTAATTCAAACCTCATAAGTATTTTGCTGTCAAACTCTGTATATATTTAAAGCACTTTTTGCCATACTTTGTATCACGGTGCTTCCCAATCCCCATTTTGAAGTTGCATGTAATTTGTCCCAGGTTGTTGACATGGAGTCTGTTTTTAGCTCTGAACTGAGCTCTTGGCAGACGTCTGGACTTAAACTCGATGACATGAACGAGTTGATTCCCACTTCTGGATCCTCTATGTGGGACTGTTGTGTAGACAGTGATGTGGCACACAGACGCCTTTGTTTGCCAATGCTGAAGTGCACACTCTTCAGAAAACACTCCTTTTTGTCCACACTCAACTGAGAGTTTTCCTCTTGTCAGTATTAGGGCTACAACTCACTGTTATTTTCATTGATGAGATTCTGGCAATTGCTTTCTTGATTTAATAGTCGTTGTATCAGAAACTACTGAAAAAAGAAAATTGTTAAATGTCCTATTGGTCGAGAAACATCTTACAGTTGCAGTAATCTATTCTGCTTCTTCTAATTTCAATTTTTTACTCATTTGTTTTACATCAGATTACAAATAGGCCTGAAATATACACAGGTACACATGAACAAACAGAGCCACGGGTCGCCCAATGGTTCGGTACCTAGTACCAGGAGGTGAACCGGCACCTCTCCACCTACCAAAATAACTCTGTACTTGATCCAACTGGGGCTTGAACCGGCAACCCTTCAGTTCCCAAACAATAACATATACCTTCTGTCCACGCAGGTAACTCCACATCTGTGAAGGCGGCCTGCTACATCCTGATTGGCGTTGGGGCCTTCTCCATGCTCATGGGCTTCCTCGGCTGCCTGGGGGCCATTTACGAGATCCGCTGTCTGCTCGGCCTGGTGAGTGACACTTCTACACATGTCTGAATGTATGTACGCTCTGATCATTTAAACATGATGAGTGAGGCCCAATCCCAAACCACTCCCTCGACCCTACCCCTCCGTGACGGAGTGAACTCCATCTGTAGCCACACTCGCAGCTGAATGAAGTTCCCTCCATTAAGGGTTAAGGGTATAAATACAGCGCACCGCATTGGGACGGCCTCCCCTCTCTCCGGCAGAAACAGGAAATGCCGTAACTGTATGTAACAACGGTTTCAAATCAGCATCTCTTAGACCAACAATTTAAATTAAGAACTCAAATAAAACTCCAAACATCTTTAATTGTGTTACTTTTTCTGTAAAGCTCTTTTAGTTTTAAACCTGATTTTTATAAGCTTCTTAGTTTTTGCAACAATCTGTAAATATACACAACTTTATAATAAAATGCACACATTTACCTTTTTCTTGACTAAACACAGGTAGCCTATGATCCGAAGTTAAAAAACATATGAGGTTATCATGAGGTTGTTAACATCGCAATTTATCAGTGGATGTTTGCTGGAACTACTTGTAAACAGCGTGTTTCCTGACGGACACACACAGCGTGACTCCGGTCAGGTAGAGACCGGTCTCCAGTCAGCACCGCTGCAGACTCGCTGTCTGAGGGCTTGATAACCCACTCCACACCGCTCGACACTCGTTGGTTTGGAACAGCACTTAATGTGGCGGACCCTCCGCGCAAACGGAGGGGTAGTGTGTAGGGGGCGGTTTGGGATTGGGCCTGAGACAGGCGATGTGCTAGTGGAAGATTTATTGTGTAAGTAGTTGGACTAACTTCTCCTAAAGGACCAAAAACAGCTCTCTGCCTAACTTCATGAGTTTTCAAGTATTCCAGCGGACTTTCAAAATAAAAGCCCCAGAAAGAATCTTAATCCTAACAGGAAGCTCAAGATGAGTTTTTATTCCAAATAAAAGCCTGAACAAGTATCTTAATCCTAACAGGAGGCTCATAGAGTACATAACTTTTTACCATGTATACAGCAAAGAATACAACTATTACAAAATGTAGTTACTGAGTTGCCAGGCTTCAATATGCATGCACACACACACCACTTTGAAGTTGGTACATTTATAGTTGGTTTGTTGCCAGTAAGATCTCTTTTTTTTTAAAGGTTTTACGGGGCTCCTACTGCGCCAACATGTTTTACCACTCAGATGTTTCACATGAGTTTACCATCTGCTGTCTCTCCGCAGTACTTCACCTGCCTCCTGCTGATCCTCATCGCTCAGGTAGCAGCCGGCGCCCTCATCTACTTCCAGAAGGAGACGGTGAGTGATGTCACTTCCTCTTCCTCTGTGCTAGATTTCATTGAGTGGTGCAGTGATGACGTATTTTTGAAGGCCAACCCTGAAGTTAGCATCCCAAGTGCTACCACGCCAAAATAGCAATTGCATTTTTCAAATGGATTTTAGAATTTTACAGAGAATTAGCTCAGTCTGATTCTCAAGACCCGAACCCGCCCCGCTACCCGCACATATTGCCAATTAGTTCCGCAAACCGACCCGACCCGTCGGCACAAGATCCGCAAACCGACCCGAACCCGCATATCCTATGAGCAGTGAAGACATGCAATTATTAACACACGCAGTTGCTTATTTGGCTCAAAAAGTGTGGGATGTTAATAATTTCATAATATGACCTGGTTATTTTCTCCATCTAGGATGACACCAAAAGCCTCCCAGTCGTTGGATTTCGCTCTTGAGGAAGAGTTATTGACAATGCTGTATTCTTCTTAAGAGAGCTTCGCCTTCACCTCAGCCATTTAGAATGTGGCGCGCTCAGCAGCAGATTGATGCGGTGCAGAGGTTATGATTATGCGCGGTCCCGCGCGGGAGAAGTCTGAGGATTTAAACATTAAATTAACTTATTTTAATATATGTATTATGCAACACCCGCGGGTACCCGACCCGATGCAGGACTCTGGCTCAGTGGCAAACGCATGATACTAAAACGCTTTGTGATTTCTGAAGTGTAAATGCAATCAGCAGAAGTAAAAATCTAACGTAACTGTTGCATGCCTTCATGTCACCACTGCTAAGCTAAAGGTGGCAAATGTTCGACGTGACGTTTAGTAATCTCTTTTAGTCTTAAAGTTTTGCACATTCACAAGTCGGGTATTTACTGACATACTTTATGTTGTACAACATAACGTGAAAATCGGTTAAGATTTGTCAACCACAGACCTTATTTTGGGCATATAGCTACAACCTCAAACAAAAAAGTTAAAAAGAGGCGTGCGAACAGGAAGTGGTAAAATGCCAAATAATTTCTAGTTATCTAGTTTTTTAGGACTCATTCCTGCACCACTCCGACAGCTTCATGGGAGTTTCCCCCTTGTTTTCATTTGTTAGTTGAGGTGATTCCGACTAGTGGAATGAGAAGGGTTGCAGCACACTTTCACAATCAGAAACGGGTTTATTGCCAGGTAGGTTCACACATACGAGGAATTTGACTTGATGTCATGGTGCATACATAAAATATAAAACAAAAAATCTTTAAGGACACTGTAATCAAATATAGTTAAATGGCAATAAAATAAAGCAGTAATTTGCAGTGAATTATAGAATATAGAGTATGAAATAAGAATATGTGCAGTAAGCAGTATTTGAGCATTGTGTGCATTAATGTAATGCATATAGAGTCTATGATGTGGCTGAGGTAAAGTGTCAGTGGGGGGGGCCGGGCCTTGTTTAAGAGGCCGGTAGCGGAGGGGAAGAAACTGTTCAGGTGGCGAGAGGTTTTGGTCCTGATGGAGCGCAGCCTCCTGCCAGAGGGGAGGGGGGTGAACAGTTTGTGTCCAGGGTGGGAGGGGTCGGCCACTATCTTCCCTGCCCGCCTCAGGGACCTGGAGGCATGCAGGTCATGGAGGGATGGCCGATTGCAGCCGATCACCTTCTCTGCAGAGCGGAGATAACACACCTTCATCTTCTTATTATGTGTCCACACCCACGATGTGTCATAACAAGCAGAACTATGTGTGTCACTTAAAAACAACACATGCTGTGATTAGAAATGTATTGTACGCCTCCCACAAATATTCAGCTGTAACTGAGAGTGACATGTGGTCATGGGACACCAGACAACTTGAATTGAAACTGATGCCTTCGTGTTACGTCGCCCTCTGGTGTTTTAATCTGAGAAATTGTACAGATGAGCAGAAAAGGGATTAATGTAACTTTTGAATTTAAATGCGTTTTACGTGTATTGGCCTCATTATTTTTGCTTTTGTGACTTAATACCATAATCATTTCTAAGTAAAACCTTTTATATGTTTGCTGATGAGTTCTCGATCCCATTTGACCCAGTTGGATGATGTCCAAAGAAGAAGCAGTTCATAACATGTTTATCTGCAGAGATTATTATTTCTTGTCTGCTTGTTTCCATCACAAGGCCAAACAACATTTATCTGCCTCTTAAAGAGTTCTGTTGGCTTCAGTTTGGCACGTACTGCAACTGACACGGCGGGCCTGGTCCATGAAATAATGTTTAACCTGTGGTCCTTTGTAAATAGTTGTTGTTAGTACATTCATTGTATAGAGCAGCACTGTAATAGCAAGAGGATTTTGTGCACACTTTTTCTCTGCTCACTACTTCAGACTTCGATGTTTAAATGGACAGTAATGAACTCTAACGCAAAACATCTGTGTTTCCCTGAGACAAGACTTTATGCTGGGCTCATATCATACAAATTACCATAATTACCAGTTTCAACTCATAAGTACCGTTTATGTCAACATCCAGGTTGTAATTACAATCGTGAAACTCAGATCTATCTAATAGCTTTAACAAGTGCTTAAAATGTAAAATAATGTTTTTGTAACATCACATCAAATAAAAATCTTAATTTTAAGCTCTTCCAGTGACGAATATCCTCATCATATGGCAGCTGTGCTGTGTACATTTTAATTTAATTCTTCATTCATTCTCGTAGTTTTTTTACTCCCAATTGTGATTGAGAAGGCTCTATGAACGTTTTTTTGCGAATATGATTCAAACTGTTCGACTTACGCCAGCTGGGCAGGGACTTTATAGTTTCTGACCCACACATATGGAAACCTAAAATAATGATGTGCAAATTTATGATTCGAAAGCTGCAAGAAAATCTCAGAAGCTTGCTGATACAAATTTCCCGAGGCATAAATCATCTGACTCCAATAAAAATGCTACAAAAAGGAGGAATTTGGTTCTTGGGAGTGCAGGCAGATCTCTGTTTATTGTATCTGAACGTTTGTTGGAAGCGTTTTTCTGCCAAAAAGAATCCCAGGCAAAACCTCCACTTGCTGAAAAAGAGTATATCTGCTTTTTCAGCATGTGTTCGCTGGAGACCTTGAGTGTCTCAACATTCTTGGATTAGAGATTTAATCAACAATTACTCTCAGATTTTCTGTGTCTGGTGTGCAGCAATTTGGATAATGTGATACATTTAAAGGTGCTGCTGTATTTGGCTTCTGATTGAAATGTTTCTGTATATCCTAAAGATTCAGATTTCACAGATCTGGATGTCAAATTCTTTACCACAAGAATTCACAGCTTATGTTTGAGTTAACAAATCAAGACATGCAAATAAAATCGGATTGTTGAGAAACACAAGTCAAACAAGAATCTGATCTATAAGCCATTTTAGTATTGTTAAACACCCAGAAAATTCCCTCTTTGTTAAGTAATGCTGCTGTTTTTGTTAAAATTACTTAAACCTAAAAGACAGTAACTAAGAACTATTGATTATTTTTTTATTTTTGAGAATTAGACAAGAAAGTTGATAGCACTCATGTTTATACGTTAAATGTGAAGCTACAGCCAGTGCTGGTTATGCTAAGCTAAGCTAGCTAGCTGCAAGATGTAGCTTCATATTTAACAGGAAGACATGAAAGTGATATCTTAATGTCTAACTCTGAGTGGGAGATCGATACCACTTATGTTTTCTACAGTAAATATAAAAGCTTGGCTCTTTAAAATAAGTTGTTTTACACACAGATTAAACAAACAAGATATAACATGTTAGCTTCTGAGCTTTAAAGGTGCTTGAAAGCAGGTTTTGTTACCTTTGGAGACAGCCATGTTAGCTGTTTGGCTATGTACTGTAAACTAGCTTGCCGCAAGATGTAGCTCCATATTTAACAGAAAGACATGAGAGTTGAATCTATCTTATGTCTTGCTCTCAGTATGTTTACAGTGGGAACAATGTATTTATTTACTTTAACTCAACATTTATTTATATTTTAATCAAACATTTTGCAAGTCTTCACCCCTCTTGTATGCAATAATATGCATTTTATAGTGACTTTGGATTTACCAGGGAACTCCAGAAGTTTCACTTTTTTCTTAAGATCTTTTTTCAGAACATTCATGACCTGCAGCTACAGGATAAATTGTTTGATTTTATTCTATCATAAAACAAGCATCACTATTGAACAGTCCAAATAACTAGGGGGGAAAAACAAGACAGAAATATATAATGAAACAAACTATAAACGGTGAATAGCAAAAGTATTTTGCTTCAGATCAAGCAAGCTCAAGCTGATTTTTGCCTCTTCACACGTTTATTTTATGAACATAATTGTTTCGTTTCAGTTAAATGAAGAGATGTCAAAGGTCGTGGCCGAGGTGCTGAAGAACTACCCTGGCAACAACTCGACCACGGAGCAGGCCTGGGACTTCATCCAGAGGAATGTGAGTTGGAAAAACTGATCCAGGCTTCGATTCAAGATGCTCTTTTTGTCCTATAATCCTATCTCTTTTTGTCAAAAGGATTTTATATCATGACAGATTAATACAAACTAAAGTACAGAAAGAAGTGTTCCTGTTATTCAAAGATATATCTGGATACACAGGCCTCAACTTACAATAGATTTATGGATGAAAATTAATAATAATTAAAAAAAAAAAAGAATATCAAAATGTTCTCTTAAGTGCCACACACATACTGTAGCAAAAATATTAAAATCAACAGACTAATGAAAATGTATTGGAGACTCAAAAAGAAAAACACACAAAAGGGAAAAAACGCATTTGAACAGCAAAACCCATTAACTCATCTTTTACTACTGACCACAAAACTGCAGAATTCAGGTGACCTCTGAATAAGGCCACTTAAAGGATAAGTTCATTTAAAAAAAAAAAAATCTTATCATTGAAACATTTTCCTTAATTTAATTGATCAATTAAAAAACTATAAACCTTCAAGTCATTAAGGGGCTGTAATACCGGTAATAATTGACTTGTGGCTAGTATGTTGGCTGAATTGTCTTGTATGACACAGAAGGTGTGCAAAAACCTAATTTCTAAATAAAGTAACTAAAGCTGAGTAGAAATGGCATTAAAGGTATGATCAAAACAACATATATATGAGCATTCTAGTTGACTAGTGTATTTCTGTGTGTATAGATGGAGTGCTGTGGCTGGAGCAGCCGTCTGGACTGGAGCGGGAACATGGTGATCGTCAACAGCTCCCAACTGCTGTTTCCCTGCTCCTGCCAGAACATCTCGGCCTCCACCGGGAACTTCTCCGACAGCAGCTTCTGTGAGGCTCAGACGCCCGACTGGCCCGTATACGACACGGTAAACACTGTTTTTCTATTTCTAAAGGTTACATTAGTTTCCTGTTTACTGTTACATGATTGTGTTCTTCATGTATTCATTCTTCGGTCTTCTGATTACTCACCTTCAGGGTTGTGCTGCCAGCGTGGAGAGCTGGCTGCTCACCAACCTCGGGGTCGTTCTGGGTATCTGCCTTGGAGTGGCTCTGATTGAGGTACATTGTCATGGTCTTTCTATAAAGTTACACTAGGGGCACAAAGTCTTTAGGCTGATCTCAGTACAACTCTGGCGGATAAAACAATCAACCAAGACAAAACGGAACAACCACACAGTGATGTGATTGCAGATATGTTCTTTTTTTTCATGAATTAAAAAACAACGCTGTCTATTAAGTACTTTAATGTAGTGGCCACATAGTAAAAGCCCCCATACATCATGTCACAGTACAAACTGTGACAAACAGCATATTCATAGTGAGGCTACGGCTTACTTTCAATCAAAAAGAGCCGTTACAAACAAGTACGTGTTTTAAAGATAAACATTATTTATATTTTATGTTTTAGAGATAGAGAAAGTTTCGTAGACATACAATATTTAAAGATGTGCACTCTTAAAATAAACATGTTTCATAGATAAAACATGTAAGGTTTTAATTAAGTATTGATCTATGTTTTTGTTTGCCAGCTGGTGGGGATGATCTTGTCCATCGGCCTGTGCAGGAACATCCACACAGAAGACTACACCAAAGTGCCAAAGTACTGAAGCAGCTGACTGGAGGACAGAAAGAGGGAACCTTAAAATAATGCATTTTGTTCACCATCTTGTATTTGGTGAAACATTTGTCCAAATGTAAAATAATTTGTTTGTTTTATACCTTGTTAGATTATTCTTCTCGTGAGCAACTTCCACCTTATTTTATTTCTGTGACTTCGTTTTTTTTGTGTGCACTTTAGAGAGAGATGCTGAAAATTATTACATTTATACAAGACTACATTTTATTAGGAACCTGTTGGTTCCGATTAAAGCGTCTCTGTAAATTATCGCTTCTTGATTTTAGTTTTCCCCAAAAATCTGAAGAGAAATCACGTTTTATCGTCTGTAGCGTAAGAAGCTAAGCTAACGTTAGCAACTGATTTGAACAACTGGAAAAATCCTCTGTGTGAGGCATGTTTTTTTAGTTTTTTATACACCAGCGTTCTGAGTTATTGTGAAATGTTTTTAGTCATTTGTACATAATTTTAGTCATTCTTTGTGTGAATTTGACTCAAAAGTCTTCTTTTCTATTTCTTTTCTTAAATTTTGTCCTGGAAATAATAGAAATAATGTGGTACTAAAGAGGAATTTATGATACTTGTTTTGTGAAAGTATCGCTCAGAGTTTACAATTGTCTTCGACAAGCAAAAACAAGATTTTCCTTTTTTAAGATAGCTTTAAGTTTATATTTGACCTAAAATAGATCCAGTTTAAGGAGTGAAATGTTTCTTTGTAACTATTTTTGAAATATAGGAACTTAAATGTGGAAAGAGGATACAATTATTTAGGCAGAAGAAATATTTTTTGCGAAGATCCTTCTTGGAAATTTGTTTATACAGAAAGATCTTTTGAAATTCCTTTATGTAAACTTTTTCATTCTCATCCAAGATGTTGTGGTGTTTTGTAATGTACAAATCCAGTTCCTGGTTTCTTTTTATGTACAGTCAGTATGAAAAACAACCCATTAACCTTTATAATAGTTTCTTAGACGGAAAGGGTACGTATGTTTGTAACTAGATGGACTTTTGGTAGCTTGATAAGCAAGTGTGTACTCACAACATTCATCCTTTCATTTGACCAATAAACTGATTACAGTGGCTCGTTTGTCTTCAATCCACTTTCTGAGGTCGTAAAGCTGCAATCATCAAAATTGTATCATTTACGAATGAAATGACTGTATAGTGTAAAATGAATTGTGTGTAGCCTTTAAAGGTCCCATGTCATGCTTTTCCGGTTATTACCCGTCCCATTGTGTGTTGTGAAGGTTTTTCTGCATGTAAACGGTCTGCAAAGTCAGAAACCCTCAAAGTACACCCTGTAGCGAGTAAAACTCTAACACAGAAAAGACCTGTCTATGCTGCCCCAGAACGCCTCGTTGGAGATTTTTCTTTTTCAATTTTTTTCTTCCGGGAACCAAGTGACGTAACGACGTCCAAATGGACCAATCCGCGGAGCTCCTCACACACACACACACACACTCATACCCCTTTCACACCAACGCAACTCCGGTTCAAGCTCCGTGCTAGAGCTTTTCAGGTTCAGAACCGGTACTTCGGTTTAGCTCCGGCTCTTTTCACACCGCTCAGAGCCCGACTGGTGCTGCCGCTGCTGCGTCATGACGTCACAGTTTACGTCGCTGATTTTCTCCCCAACGGAGCTCACCTCACAACAACAACGGGCCGGGGACTGCGTTGCTTTTAATCATACGAAGCCAGATTAAATTAAATAACGACTTCTCCAACCTTATACTTTTCTCCAGAGTGCCGTGGTTCATTGTTTATTAATGTGTTTCAGCGGCATTTAGCGACCGCTGCAGTGCTGCTGCTCTTCCACGAGTGTATTCTCCCGTTAGCTCCGGGTTAGCTCACACGGCTCTAAAGTATTCACTGTCTGACTGTCACACAAGCAGCTGATACATATCCCCAGTTCCCCTTAAGTGAATGTGTGTCAGTCTGAATTGACGCTGTTTGGCATCACAACGCTGTTATGAAAGTTTCTCTGGTATAACATGGGTGATGTTAGCATAGCAACCGAAGCTAAACTGACTACTTGCTAAGCAGTTTTCTACAGGCACTTTTTACCGACGTATTTTTCATTATGATTCTACTTGTGATAGTCGGGCATGACAACCTGTGCAGCCCATGCATTGATTCCATCCGATAGCTGCTATAATAACAAACAAAACGTCTGCCTGCTCTCCACAATGATCAATAACAGCGAACGGATGGTCAAAGTAAGGTACAAATAAACAGAATCACACGAAGCCTGGTTAGTGTTGCCAGACTTTATAAAGTGTGTTTTTTTTTAACAAGTGTGTGGTTGCGTTCTAGTCACTTTGCTCAGCACTACTGCTTGTTACAACTTTTATTTGCCGTACTCGCCTTAACTGTTAGCTCAGGTTAATCTCGCCCCCCTCCGACGTAAGCGTGACGTATGCGGTTCTTGCTTCTAGACGGACAACTTTTTGGTGCTCGAAACGAACCGGATTCCGGAGCTTAGAGGCTGCTCCGCTGTGGTGTGAACAGGAAAACCCGGTGCTTTTCAAGCACCAGCACCGAACCGGCCCCGAAACACCGTTGGTGTGAATGGGGTATCTGTCAGCCTTATTTTTCTTTGCAGCAGCTCCGCGGATTTCTCAGCCTGGACTCAGCCTGAGACAGTGGGACACGGCGAGACCCGGCCCGAGCTCGGCCGGAGCACACACCCGCAGACCCCACGCAGCAACCAGGAAATGACACCAGTAACCCAGCTCACACTGTCCGCTCCTCACAGCAGCGAGCCCCGCAACGTCCCGCCAACACGGCACCCAGACCCCACGCAGCATTCTCATCTGTTTGTCATTACTGGTGTAATTTTCTGGTTGCTAACGCCATTGTAACACATAATCACTGATGTTCCGCTGTAACGGTGGTGATCTCATCAGAGCACACTGGGCTCACAGGGAGAGGGGAGGGCAGGAGCTCCAACAAGCCGTTTAGGACAGAGAGTGAATACACATACTATACAGAGATGCTGTATGAGAAACCAATGTGAGTTTGAAAAATTGCACAATGTAAATCTATTCTAGTATACCTCAACAATGGAATTATGATCAGTAGAAATGGCCATGACATGGGACCTTTAATGCTTTGATCTATAGACCATAGAAATAACCTGTAGTAGTTTTGATAATGGCTGTAGTTCACCTTTAGTAGCCTGCCTGAAATCTACCAATCTTGGCAAAAGGCATAATTGCGTGATAACTTGACCCCAAATTCGATATATTTTAGTTTTTGCGGTATTAGTGTTTTTATTTCAAATTTATATGAATATTTTATGAACAATTAATTTGTTTCAAATAGCTTTTGTGTCATGTGACTCCTTAGACACAACTCTTTATTAGATTGTAATGCTTTTTTTGTTATATATTTGGACTTTATGAAATTTCAGCTTTTTTCAATTTGTAAATCTTGTTTTTTCTTGAATAGCTTCTGTGTCATGTGACCACCTACATTACAATAATAGGCCATACCTCTTTTTATTTGGATTTTGTTCCACCTTTTCTATTAATAAACAAACAATCCACATGAATAAGTGAACAAAGACTTTGTGCAGTTCCTGTGCAAACCACCAGAGGGTAATGTCACTTTGCATAAAATCTACACCAAATGCAGCATAAGAGAGAAAGAAATGAGAGACAAAAGAATAACAGCTCTGAGAGTGAGGAAGTCCTCGGAAATGTTGTTCATTTAGAGATGCATATGCCTACTAATAGTCATGGTCAGTTTCTTGCTTAGACAAGTTATGCAAAAGGAAGATGCTGCAGAAAGTATGATTGACATGTTTTAAACGCACAATGTAGTTATTTTAAATGAATACAGGACATATATGCTCCAAACTTTTTTCAATAAAGCTTATTTTTATAAAGTCGGAAATAGATTGTTTAAGTACAAGGAGAGCTTAATTATTCTATGTATAAAAAACACATTTTTATATATTTGGTTATAGATTTCATTCTGATTTCTGACATAATTCAAAACGCATTATAAACAGACAATTCCGCCTTGTTACAGATTATTAATAAAATGTGTATTATTCATAGGAGAGAAATGTTTCCCTCATGTTTTATTTTATTTTGAAAAAAAAACTTTTAAAAAACAGTATTAGTACTTCCCAAAAAACAGAAACAAACATTTAAAAAATTGTCCAAAAACAAAGTGAAGCCACACACACACACACACACACACACACACACACACAACCTGTGCAAACAACTAAAGTTATGAAAGTAATACAGCAGTCAAAAGTGCCTTGGCCTACCTCAGGAATATACTGTCATCAGATCATGTGCACCAGCTTGTGTCCATAGTAGCCTGTAATGAGATAATAGATACTAGTAAAGCCACTGTACCTGAGGGTGTTGACAGCATATTGATGGATGGTTGATTGGTTGTTCCAGATGTGTTCTCTTCCCTGGAACATGTGACATGCTCAGGAAGTGACTAAATAAAGTTACACACACAATCACGCCAGACGTCCTTCAACGCAGACGGTAGAAACAACAGCTGACAGGAAACAGGCAAGACACACACGGTCCAGACCAGTGAGATCACCATCAGCCATGTTAAGCATAATGTGATTTCACCTCACAATGAGGGCCGTTGAATGCACAGAGAGGAAATCATTAGTGGTGTGGATGTGAGTCTGTGTGGGGTCATTTTGATGAATCTCTGCTGGTGGTTCACCAACACTCAGGAAAAGTTCGGAGAGATATGTGGTTTTCACAGCAATAAAACACTTGATGATCTTATAGAATATGATGTAATTGTAAAAAACCTTATAGAAAAGTACCTCTTGGCAGTCAGCATTTTCCTAGTGGGCAATATATTCCTGGAACACAATAGAGTGGTGCAGGAATGTGTCCCAAAACCAGGAAATGAGTTAGCATTTACAACTTCCAATTCCTTGTCCTCTCTCTTCTTCTTTTTTTAAGACAACTGAAATAGGGTCTGTGGTTATCACAAGTAGAAGAGATTTTCACTTTTTTGTTTGACAGCATAAAATACTCCACTTGTGATTTTCCGAAGCCTCTATGTATCATAAAAACGTTGGTTGCTAACAAGTGGCTCAATAACACTACTAAACGCTTTAGCTTAGCGGTGTTGACGCGCAGCAATGCAACCAGGATATAGTTTGTTTATAGCCTAGCGTTAGCTCTTTACTTCTGGAGATTCCATTTACGCTACAGCTATTATAAAAGTGATGTTAATATGTGGAGATTATCCTGGTGAACAAAAGGGTTGAGTATCATAAATGTGTGTTTGCCACTTATTTTCAGCAATATTCCAAAATCCAAAGGAAATCCCTTAGATTTTTGTCGAGCGAGCCATTGCGAAGCTATAATTTCCTGGTGAAATTACAAAAATATGTCATAACTGCACCGCTAGATCTAAGGATCACATCTCTTAACTCTGTAAACAGACAGTTGTTACTGGACAATTAAATACACTGCCATAAACTAGTAGGGGTTATATCATTATTTTTTTAATCGTCTGTGCCTGTTAGCTTGTATCTGTGCTATCAATGTTTTTTTTCCGTCTGTTGCATGTTTATGGGTTTGTATTCAGGTGTATTTCATTTGAAATGTGTGCTTTAATATGTACTGTAATTGGGCTTGTATAATTTAGCTTAATGCCATCTACCTGCCAGACTTCAGCTGAAAATAAGCCTACATTTCTAAATCTGGCACATTTACATGATGGTCTCAAGTACCCATGTTAATTAATGTGCTTTTGTCTCTTTTTAGATAAATAAATAAAACAAATATAATAAATTGCGGTGAATGGAACTACACATGTACACAGCAGTAAATCAAGTAATTAAATAAAGCATAACCTTCAACATCTAAAGCAGTACAATGAAACAAACACAGCAGAAATATTAACCCAAAGACATCATATATAATAGTAAAACACGTTTTACATCACTAGGGATACTTTTCATACTCTAACTACATTTAGCTGACAACCCTTATATACTTTTGCATAGGTGAGGTTTTGAATACACGTCATGTTTCTGACCACCCAGCTAGAATAATTCAATTGAAGCAAAATCAGGA